GCGCATTCACTAATGAGTAATGACAACTTATAAGCCATACATTTTCCGATAACGACAAAACGCTTGTGTAGCCTTTAGTCGCTCTTAGAGACTAATAAATTTTGAGGGGGGCAAAATGGGGGGGGGGGCAAAAAATAATTTTGGGAGGGGCATTTGCCCCACCTTGCCCCTCCTTGGCGCCGCCACTGAAGACTTGAAAGCATTTGTGTTAACGGAGATTGACGAAGATACAGCAGAAAACACAAACTGGCGATCTCCTAGCGGCGGAACTTGGAAATTTGAAAGTGAGTTACTGGCTGTTACATGGCAAACCAAAAGTATGAATATATCCTTTGAAGGAGAGAAGGGCAAAGACCTGACTGAACGAGTAATTTCAAATCTGAAGGAAGAAGGTGTGAAAGAACACAACAGCATCGCCTTAGCTCAAAATGACACGGAGGACGACGGTGGCGATATAACAACTGTCGAATGTGAAACAACCGCTCAGGTAGTCTGTACGAACTCCCTACTGAGGTAAGCGAGATTAAATTAATACTAAACCAAGATATTGTCGAAACGAAAGCAGAGCTTCAACAAATAAAGGAGAACTTTGCCGAACAGCTTGATCAGCTAAAAGAACTGAGTTTGAATGGTGGCACTAAAGTAACTGAATATTGTCTAACAAGCCTAGAATATGAAAACGCTACCCTTAGACATGAAAACACACAACTTAGGCGCGAAAACGACTCTTTGAAAGAAAGGTTTAACAGTCGTTCTTATATGGTATCGGATCTAAATAAGAAAATCAAAAACATTGAAGATGAGAAATTGAGTCTAGTCACTGCCCTTAAGCTGCTGCAAGAAGGCAGCAAATCTATATCATTAAATAACAGAGATGCAACACACAATACATGGCATACCCCAGGGCACAGAGCGAGAACTAATGTACATAATATTTCTGCTAATTATGCATGCCAAAATAAAACTGCTCGATCTGCAGCTGATCTGAATGCTCAAGAACCGAACATAATAACGCCAAATAGATTCGGTCTCCTGTCACAGAACATGATACAGATAAAGAATCAGAAGCTAATGACGAAATTGACCCGAGTGAATCTAGCACTTCGACTATTAGACAAAGTAGGTCAAGTAATTTAAACATGGATTCGAACAAACACGATAGAAAACAAAGGAGAAAAGAAAGTCAATCACCACAAACTTCTATTGAATTTTCCAAGGGCAAGGCCAAAACCAACAGTATAAAGCATACAACAAATGCAAATTCAAACGATTTATTTCAAACAGGATCAAAGAATAATAAGTCTGGTAAACTTGTTTTCTTCGCCGGGGACTCAATTCTACAACATGTTCACGGCTGGGACTTGTCTAATGATAAACAACGTGTATCTGTAAAGTCCTTTTTAGGGATTAAAGCTGAAGATATGCAAGATTACATCAAATCATTACTACGCAAAAAGCCTGACGAGATAATATTGCATGTAGGCACTAACAATATTAAAGATAACTCCAAGACGGCAGAAGTGGTTGCTGCGGGTATCTTAAACCTCGGAACCCAAATAAAGGATAGTCTACCATGCACTAACGTATGTATATCGGGCATTATTACCAGGAAAGATAAAGCTAATATCCAGAATAAAATTAAAACTGTAAATGACATTCTTAAACGGATCTCTGACCAAAACAAATGGACCTATATAGACAACACTAATTTAGATTATACTTGCCTAAATAGAGGTGGCCTACATTTAAATAGAAAGGGTAGTAGCACTCTTACTAGAAATTATAGTAATCACTTTAGTCGTAATTGAAATAAGGCATGGCCAGGTGCTGTAAAGTATGCTCAATTTAACCCATATTTTCCTGATTTCAAGGGTTTCAAAATGGGTATGCTTAACATAACCAGTTTACCTAAGCATATTGACGAAATTAGGATCATATTAGCCGATGAATGTCTCGATATTCTTGCATTAAATGAGACAAGATTGGCTGATACTATTAATAACCAGGATATGTACATAAGTAATTATGATCTTATTAGGGTCGATCGTTCTAGAACAGGGGAAGGCGTCTGTTTATATGTGAAAACTTCCCTTAACTATTTAGAACGAAAAGATCTGACCAGAGATAATCTTGAAGCTGTATGTGTTGAGATTCGCAAACCTTGCAGTGCACCATTTATTGTCGGTACTATTTGCAGACCTCCAAGTGCTTCTGTTGACCCTTTTGCCACAATTGAGAAATTAGTAAAAACAATAGATAATGAAAATAAGGAATTTTACATACTTGATGACTTAAATGCTAACATGCTTGACACCTCAAACAATGCCACAAAGAATTTAAATTCAATCATGGAATTATATCAATTATCGCAAACGATAAACACACCCACCCGTGTGACCACGACCTCATCCTCCCTAATAAACGTTTGTCTTACTCCCACTCCAACAAAGTTAATAACATCACAAGTAATACCAATTGCCATTAGTGATCATTACATGATCTTCGTTCTTCGTAAAATAAATATCCAGCGCAAACAAAACAGTCACAAGAAAGTTGAAATTCGAAATTTAAAATATTTTAATACTGAGAGTTTCCAAGCTGACCTGCGTGGTCAGGAATGGGAATTATTAGATAACAATCTCTGCGGTGATACGATGTGGGACACATGGAAAACACTTTTCGTACAAGTTCTTGATAGGCATGCCCCTATCAGGGAAAAGAGAGTTAAAAGTAAACCAAATGTTCCTTGGCTCACTAGTACAATTAAAAAACAAATCCGCGACCGCGATCGCCTTAAATCTCTTGCTATTAGACATAAATCGGAAAATTACTGGAACGCATACAAAACCTTTAGAAATCGCGTAACTGATGCATTGCGACGAGCAAAAGCAGCATATTATAAAGGAGAATTTAAGATAGTCAAACATGATCCCAAACAAGCATGAAAAACTGTCAATAAAATCCTAAACCGTAAACAAGAAATTAGAGAAATCAATTGTCTCGAAACACCGAGAGGACAAATTTCACATCCAACGGAGTTAGCGGAGTGTTTTAATAATTATTTCACCAATATTTGTCCAGATATTGCCAAAAATATCGACAATGGTGACAAAAATTTCAAGGATTACATCACGATAACAACTAGTAGCTTTAATTTTCAAACAGTGTCTGAATCGAACGTATACAGACTTCTGTTATCTCTAAATCCTCGTAAATCTACTGGAATTGAAAAAATCCCTGCTAAAATTATTAATTTCAATATGGCCATTATAAGTGCCACTGTTCCTTTTGAGTGGAAAATAGCAAGAGTCACTCCCATATTTAAAAACGGCCCGCGAAACTTATTAAACAACTATCGCCCCATTTCTATCCTCCCTGTAGTAAGTAAACTTTTTGAAAAAGTATTATACGAACAACTCCATGAGTATCTTGTTATACAGGAGTTGTTGTCCCCTCGTCAATTTGGTTTTAGGAAGTTTCATTCTACAGCCTCTGCTCTTTTAGATAGTGCAAATGAATGGTTCATTAATATGGACCGTGGTTTGTTTAATATAGCTGTTTTTGTGGACTTACAAAAGGCGTTCGACACCATAAATCATGACATCCTGTTAACGAAACTTGACCTTTATGGCCTACAGAAGCCATCATTAAACATTTTAGGATCCTATTTAGCGAATAGAACCCAAATGTGCTCCGTTAATGGCGCTCTGTCGGGCACGAACTTGGTTATATGTGGAATCCCTCAAGGTTCAATTCTTGGCCCACTCTTATTCTTGATCTACATTAATGATCTGCCTAACGGTTTGGAGTACTCGTCGACAAGAATGTTTGCCCACGATACGACTCTAACTGTATCTGGCAAGTCAATTCAAGATGTAGAGGTGGCTATAAATCATGACCTTTCCAATGTTAAACAATGGCTTTCTGCAAATAGATTATCTCTTAATCTAGTCAAAACTGAGTATCTACTAATAGGATCTCGGTACAACATAAATAATTTACTTGCTGCTCCAAATGTATTTGTTTGTGATACACCAACTAAAAAGGTCAAAGAAACAAAAGCACTTGGAGTTCATATTGACGAGTTTCTATTGTGGGATAAGCATATTGATAAAATTGCTAAGAAGATTTCAACCGGAATTGGGGCGATCAGAAAGCTAAAATCTTGTGTGGATCATAATACATTAATTTGTGCTTATAATGCACTTATACTTCCACACCTAGATTATTGTTGCGAAGTTTGGTACACCATTGGTGCGCCACACTTTCTAATCGACTCGAGAAACAACAAAATAGGGCAGCTAGAGTTATTACTGGCCGTAAAAACGAACACGGTCAATCTGAACTTTCTCTAGACGAACTGAAATGGAAACCTTTAAGTGAACGCAGAACACATTTCATAGCAAGTCTTATGTATAAAATAACTCGCGAACTGGCGCCAAAACGACTAACCAACATTTTTCAAAGGACGTCTTCCTCTTATTACTATAATATGCGAGGCTCTTCCACCAAACTCTTTTTGCCCAAACCTAAGACTAAATATCTTAAAAAAAAGTCTTAGTTATAGAGGAGCGAAAGTGTGGAACAGCCTTTCTGATGAAGCAAGAAACAAACACACTCTTACTTCGTTTAATTTATGTATACGACACCTGGCCAATTATTTAATTAATTAATTACGTTAATTAAAAATATTGTACAGTACTAACATTAATTTAATATGTAAATAATTATATATTTGAATGCTGTTCTTAGGGTTTTGTAATCCAAGTGAGTATATATATATACATTTTAAGACCTGACCAGGAACGACTGTGAAAAATGCAGCACAAGGTCCTCTGGTAGGAATTGAACCTACGGCCCTGCGATTCCGGTGCAGCACTCTAACCAACTGAGCTACAGAGGCCAGCAGTTGAGCTGTAACCGTAAGTTCATGTATATATAGGTGTTCGGGTGTGTGGGTTGTGATAAGATGGACTTCAATGATCTGGTTTTTTGCACTTCACTTGGTGGTATTAATATTTGAACGCTGTTCTTAGGGTTTTGTAATGCAAGTGAGGACCTTGTGCTGCATTTTTCGCAGTCGTTCCTGGTCAGGTCTAAAAATGTATATATATACTCACTTGGATTACAAAACCCTAAGAACAGCATTCAAATATTAATACCACCAAGTGAAGTGCAAAAAAACAGATCATTGAAATAATTATATACTCGTTGTATTTGTAGATGTATTGTAATTATTGTTAACTGTAATGTTATGTATGACCATAATTTGTATGAATTGTATTTTTTAACTATTTAAATCTACGTCCACCCCCCTTGGAAATCAGCCTTCGCTGTAGGGGTTAGCGTAGTTAAATAAAGTTTTACCTACCTACCCTATTAGCCTTTTCACTTTGGTGATTGACTAGCGCGTTCGCCGCATCCTTGACGCATTTTCGGTAAATACCGTTGAGTTTTTACAGGAATGACGGAAACGAGCTGCTTCGCGAGAATTGGCTTTAGTTCAGGGTTGGACTACATCCACTGCAGATTTTATGCTCATTATCCTCACTATGTATCTTGCTCATTGTCAACTTAAAAACCACAAATCGCACGGTCAGCGAAATCATCAAGGATTGTTTAGGCCTTTAAAAGGAAACACTTCACATTTTCCGACTAATATCTTCCTATAATGACCGTTATTGAATTATAGCAGTCGACAAAAAGGACATTGGCGGACTTCCACGCAACCTAAAAACTGGAGGATCCTATCGCTCTTTAATAGATTGAGATTAAGGCAGATTTCTAAAATGTCGCCCCATTGATTGATTGATTGATTTTTTATTGATGGCTGCACTTTATTTAAGCGCGGAAGCATGTCATCAGAAGATGGTTTTCCCATGCAGGCGTCGTTTGCATTTAAATTATTTATTTTTTCGATCTTTATCTTTTGACTGCGGAACTCTCAACCTGACCCGTTCCATTCGAGGGCTCATGCGAGAAAAACGTTTGATCGCCAAACGTCGATTGCACAAAAAATTTTGCGCCGGATGGGAACCTGCCTTAAAGTCCCATTGAAGTTTTCGTCTCAGAAATGGTTTAATTTTCAAGAGAGTTTGAGATCGTTTACATTAAATTGGCTCAAAATCCAACTATTAAAGGGGCCTATATAACTAATCAAACTTGGTGGCAATAACACTCTATTTGCACATAGATTACATAATTATATCAAGTACAAAATTACGAACTACGAATAATATATGAAGACAACAAGTAGGTAGTATATATTTGTATATAAGCTTTGTTTGCTAAATTTTTATCTCTGTCTTTATTGCATGCGCTCTAGTTGGTTTTTATAACTCAACACAAATTATTTTATATAAACATGTTGATGTATGTACGTGGACGTTTATTGAATCATATACCAGGACTCATATTAAGGCAACGCCCACATCATTACTGAATAAATATTTCTATACAGGGACGTCGCGATGTCATTGACATGGGACGGGTGGGGGCAGGGGAGGCGACATGATAACTTAACCAAGTTTTGGTTAACAGTTTGAAATTTTAACTTTGAAAAGGTCTTATTTTGTGGGCTTGTTTACAGCTTATAGATGGGTACCGAAGTTTACAGCTAAATGCAAACACGCCAAACAGATCCAATTGTAACAGCAGCAGCGTAATACGATATTTATTTTCCCCGAAAAAAAATGAAAAACTGACACTCTGAAATGCCATTTCCAGCAGTTTCTGGCACCCAATTGAAGAATTTAGATAACAAAAAATCTGAAAAAAATTGCTTCATAAATGGTTTTGGTCAGTTTGTATAACTTGGTGGGGGCTACAATCGCTAGCAAATTAGCATAATTAAACTACTAACTTGGCAATGGAAAATTTTATGCTTCTGAACCAAGACATATATAACTTAATCTATTTTTAAGGCTACTTACCTCCCCCACCCCTCCCTCCCTGTGAAAACTGTCACAGGTGCCGAAACTCCGCAGCTAATGAATATTCCTTTGACCAAAATGTTGATAATCTTGTCCACTTTTCCTTTAGGCAGCGATCAAGAATCTAAGTATTACTGTCTTACTTTGACTCTTTTGGGGTGAGGGGTGGTTATATTTCGATTTTTACTTCCCGACCTTGATCCGGCGCCCCTGTCTGATTCCGTCGAATTCGCAATGGAAAACCTGAATGCTAGGGGGTGTTTTTTTAAAAGCTGAAAATTTCGTGCGAGTCCAAATACTTGAAACTAATCTGCGTTTTTAGGTACTAATATAGTTAGTTGACAATTAAAACCAATTTGACAAAGCCAACAAATGACAAACAATTTTGACCAAACATTTTCCATTTTAACCAACTTTTTGATCTTCAAAATTAGTGAACGTGTTATGCCTCCCTCTCTTCCCAAGTAACAACGTCCTTGTTTCTATAACTATTTACATTATCACTTTAGAGAGAAAAGTGCAAGACGTGCGCTTTAAGTCTTGTCACGTCCTACTTTCATTTCGGTGACTTTGTAAGAATAATATCCTCCTTTAAAACGATACCAGCATATACCTTTCCATTCCTGATTGTGATGACCGCGTAGATATGCACCATTCAGGTGTGCCTCGCTACAATCATTAAACCACCATCCACCATGCCGCTCCTGTGCACAGTTTCTGTGCGACCAGTGTACGCCTTCGTTGAGATCATTGTCGACGTCTTGGGTGGTGAATTTCATGCCATTGTGATAGTATAATGAATCTCCAGCCGTCCCTTTAAAGGAAACATGCAACGTAAGTTCAAACAAATTAATAATTCGTGACCAATTAAGTCACTGAATATATATGAAACTTGTAGGAGCATCCTTGTATGCAAGAGCACCAATCCAGAAAGTGGGCAGGCAGAGCAGGTCAAAAGACCTGGAGGCATGTAATCCTGTACTTTTGTTATTTTTGTGGTATATGTTAAAATAGAAGGATAATTATATATTCATCCCCAACCCAAATAGTGGAGGCGAGATGCTCTCTCATCCCATCCCTCCAGGTTATGACGCTCTTGCTTGTGGGTTTTAATGTTGTTTCTGTTATTTACTCTTTTTCTCAAGTTTCCAGTGTTAAAGTAACCACAATTTTACTATTTGCATGGTCCATGTAAAAAAATTAAAGTTCAAATTTTACTTGAAGCTTGGAAATTACTTTTTAGTGAAATGCTCAAAATGAAGTGTTGTAAAATCAATATTTGAAATTTTTAATGAGAAAATCAAAGTTTTACTCAATTTTACTCAAATTTAAGTCACTGCATGTGGCTTCGTTTATTTTAATAAGAATTGAGATCGAGAATTTGCTTACTAAATGTTAAGTAAAATTCGCAGTTAAGAAAATCGCTGATATTCCCAGTCTTTACCGAAAAATATATAAAACGTTAATGTCGCCTGTGAGTTAATTTATGAGTAAGTCAACGCTTTACCCAGCAATTTGAGTGACTGTGGGTGCATTTATCTTACTCAAAATATTGAGTAAATTTTCTCATAAATTTGGTAAATTTGAGTCACTATTTTGAGTGACTGGGTGAATCGTTTCACGCAAAATTTTACTCAAACAAACTTGTATGTACTATTTAAAATACGAGCAGAGGTGCTTTAAGCAGATATAAAACACGAGGCAATAGCCGAGTATTTTATATCTGATAAAGCACAGACTGCGAGTGATTTAAATAGCTTAAAAACCACCCATCTTATGAGTTCATTGGCCAAGAAATTTTAAAAAGAGACGTTGTTTAAGCAGAGAAAATCAAAGCTAGAGTTTATGTAAATTATCATGATTTTTATCGCGTATAAAACCACCGACACGGCAGTGATTTCCTTTGTCTTTTCCTCATTAATTATTATTAATTTTTTAATTAAAGATCAATTCAAGGCGATAGATGAGTTCATTTATGAGCGTTTATTACCGTGGTATGAAGACAACGATACGGTGTCGGTTTCCTTTGTGTTTTGTTGGTTTCCCTTGTGTATTATTAACGAGTTAATTTAAGAATTATTCTCCCAATACAAGCATGCAAGGGATTTATATCTATTTATTTCATGATTGAGTCGCTTTCTTTTGTTATTCAAGACCTTGTATCTAGCGTAATTACTCGTCCATCTGAAAGCCCGGGGAGGGATTTGATTTTCAGCAGGGAAGAGCGGGGCTGATGTATGAATTTGAATTGCTCAATACACACATGAGGAGGTATATATCTAGATAAATACCTCATTAAACTATTCATGAGGTATTTATCTAGATTTAATATATAATCTTCGTTCACTGTACAAAATACACGCACGCCATTGGTCAAAATCGATCACGTGTGTTTTTGTTACCTGGAAACAACGAATTCTGCGAGTGCATTATTGACAATAACGCATAAAAAACGTGCATTATTGAAAATGGCTTCCCGCAAGGTTGTCGGTTCAAGGTTTACACGAGTCAGTGAAGACGAAATTAATCAAATTGTATAATGCAGTGTCTAAAAGTATAAAAAGCCAAACAAACTGGTGCATTGTCATCTTTCAAGGTGAATAAACGAAGCAAAAACTGACTTTTCACGATTTTGTCGCGTGTAAAATTCCAGCTTAAAAAGTCTAGTCGAGTTTTTCATTGTATTCGTTGTCTTGTTTTAAAAACAGTTGTACGCAATTATTTTGCAATGTACTTAAAATTAGACTATTGGTAAAAACTTATGATGAAAATGTGGTAATAAATGTTCTTTTCCAAACTGGAATTGCTTTGTTTTAATTTAATTTTGTTTTGTTTTGTTTTGTTTTGTTTTGTTTTGTTTTGTTTTGTTTTGTTTACAAAAGGCGTACAGTATAATTGCATGCAAGCAGTAAACTCAGATAATATATTAAATGGGTTAGAGACTTTAAGTTCGTGTTTTGTTTACATGTACATGCACTTGCTGACTGTACAATGAACTCGAAATTTTCAATACTGCACTAGCTCGGCTTCGCCTCGTTCAGCATTGAAAATTTCTCGTTCATTGTACAGTCAGCTCGTGCTTGTATTTGTAAACAAAACACTCACATCAGTCTCTAACCCTTAAATATACCTCATGAATAGTTTAATGAGGTATTTATCTAGATAAATACCTCATTAAGCTATTCATGAGGTATTTAACTAGATATATACCTCATGAATAGTTTAATGAGGTATTTATCTAGATAAATACCTCACTAAAACTATACTCATGATGTACTTATCTGGGTAAGTACCTAATGAGAGGTTAGTCTCTTTCCCAACTCGATAAACGCTGTACCGTCTCCAGTCGGGAAAGAGACAACAGCCGTGTACATCAGAGCCCGTCAAAACTCTACCATTAGGTAAGGGGCCGACCATTTAACTTTTGAGGGGGGGGGGGTGATTTACTGCTGGCAGGGAATTTTTTTTCTGGGATCGTTATGTGCAAGATATTTTTTTATCACCATCACCATGTACGATTTTTTTTTTGCCACACTTTCTTTCGCAGCATTTTTTTTTCAATAGCTTATACTATTTAGATTATAGTTAACGTTGAGTTTTTTAGCTTCATGCATTGCTCTTAATAATACATTTTGCTATGAGGTATAACATTTGGTTCAGTGCCTTTTTTAAAGATGTGCAACTGGAGAGGACATAATTAGCGGGGGACCTGGAGAAGTTCCAGTCGGCAAGTCTGTATCCAGGGCCGTAGCTAGCATGTATAGTTGGGGGGGGGGGGTGTAGGCCAAAAATTTCCGAATGACGAAAATAATTTCCGAATATATCATGGCATACTATTAGCCATGAAGGTGTTTGCTATTCGGAAAATGAAGACGTAATTTACAATTAACAAAAATATGCATAATTTACGCACAGACATATTACAGAAGCAGTGCGGTAGGGAGCTTTTGTTAATTGGGAGCAGAAAACCAGGGCCGGAGGCCCGAGGAAATTTTTGAAATGCCATTTCCTGGACTTTGGGGAAGTTTTGAGAAGAATGCTGATGGTCAGAAAAAAGCGTTTTAGTATGACGAAATTTACAATTTGCTTACAATTTATTGTGACAATACAATTTTATAATATTTTCTCTGTTTAACAACTAAAATTTTGTTCTACTATTAAATAATTGCCGTAATTTTCCGAATGGCCAACCCGATTTTCTGAATATGTTGATTCTAAAAAAGTTGGGTGGGGGGGGGTTAACCACCCCCAATACCCCCCTTGCTACAGCCCTGTCTGTATCACTGCAGCTACCTACAGCATATATATGCATGGTTTAACTAATAAGTATACGTCATAGGGCAGCAACAACAGAGTCGACCACCGCAGTTGCGAGCCTCTAGAGGGGTCTGGGGGCATGGCCCCCCAGAAAATTTTGGATTTTTTGAAGCTCAGATAAGCTATTTCCAGCATTTTGAGGAGTTTTCCAACAAGATATTAACCTTACACCAGTCCCTGAAAATCAAACCAGCTGATCTTCTGGGACTGGTCAAATCGATCCCTGCAACCATGCTGTTTTGCAACATGTTTTTCCCCACCAAATACTGGGGCAGGATATTTTTTCCCCAGTTTGTTAGTGCAGGTATTTTTTTTGTCCAGAATAGCCTTGCAGGAAATTTTTTTTCAAAATCACCCCCCCTCCCCCCTCAAAAGTTAAATGGTCGGCCCCTAAGAGTAAGTATCATTCGGCGCACGAGGACTAGCTGGATCAACCACCAAACTTGCTTGTGCAGGGAATTTATACAGTAACATCTGCTCTTTCGCTTGTGGGACGTGAAATGATATACTGCGCGTGCTTGACCACATTTTAAAGCGTATATAGTGCGCATACTCAGCCTTGTGTTACGTCCCACAAGCGTAAGAGCTGTTTTGGAAATAAACCTCCAGATCATGAAATAAGTTAGTTAAACACCTCGGGCGTCGGTATTTAGTCATATACATCCCTAGGGCCTACGGCCCTCGGGATGTATATGACAAAATACCTCCGCCCTCGGTGTTTAACTCTAACATATTCGATATTACCTGAGTAGTTGTCAACATTCAAAAGGTAAGCCTTGTTTTCATTTTCAACAGAAAATAATTGATAAACTGCATAAGCTGTCTCGTTCTCAAAACTCTCGAGATCAACTCTCAGTACATTCTGTCCACTGGCTGAGAGGCGATGAATCTTGTCCAAACCGAGCCAAAATTCACCAGACAAATTTCCAAATCCTGTTTTGTATTCAGTCCAGTTTCTGCAAAAGTCCTCAGAGCCATCTACACGCCTTTGGAAAATAGTCCAGCCCCTCCCTAGAGCGGTTTCCATATCGCATGGAACATCAAAATCTCCTAGACCATTCGGATCAATTTTATAAACGCTGGTAACCCCCTTACCCAATTGGTATAATTCATCACAACTTCTTCCTAAGGGAAAATGTAAATTAATAAGTCTTTTGTATGCTGTACTTAACACGCGAACAGAATTATAATGAACGTGCATGTAGAATATATCACTTGAGTATGACTACATCCAAAATGAAATATTGCTAAAATGATGAGACTTTAGATGGTACGCCAAAACGAAAATGATGTCCGAAGTTTAGTATGTTTTATTCAAATTCCGGGCCGTACTGAGAAATTCCTGGCCACGGGAAAATTTAATTTAGAGATTGGAGAATTGTCAAAATTATTTCCCTTGGTTTTGAATCTCTACATAACATATTCGATCCGCATTCTGTACTTACTGTATATAGTTCAAGGGGTTCTTCTTTTGGGCAAATTTTGAAATATAGAGTCCCTAGATAGTAATTCCTGCATTTCGGAAAATATTTAACTGTGACTTCTATGCATAGTATACATCATCTTTATTTGGGGACCCTTTAGCAGGGAGTCATTTGGGCGGTACAGCTTAGATTGTCTAATTTTAAAGCATCATTGCAAATTGCATTTTAATCAGTGACATATTTACTTAAGAAATAGAAAACGAGTCGCGTGCATTTATGGTGTGATAATGCTTGCGGGGAATGTTGGGAGAATACGAGAGAAGCGTGTAAAACACGAGGCGTAGCCGAGTGTTTTACACGCTTCTTGAGTATTCTCCCAGCATTCCCCAAGTGCATTATCGCACTATAAACGCACGAGACTTGTTTTTCTATTTCTTTGATAGTATAAGTAAAAGATATTATACTTAGTAAACAATTTTACTCAAAAGATCGACGTTGAAATTCTCCTAACATGTACTCAGTGACGTCACGCGCATGCTTTTGTAGTCGCTTGAATTTTTAACCGAGCGAAGGAGCAAAATTGCCAAAACAATACACAAACTTTTGATGGTATAAAGCCGGAACAGTTGTTTAAGGTTACAGAACACCTTTGAGTGTTAATTTTGCCTAAAATTTTTTTATTGGTTTACATGAAAGCATTAGACTAATTCTACTATCCGACCAAGTTTGGACGAAAAATGTTTAAAACTCGCAGAGTTATTTAATAAAATACATTTCGCTTGCAATAAGAAAAACATTAAAAATATAATATTCAAATTCAATTTTCTCCCGAAGAATTTTACGGCAATTACTGATTTTTAAACGAGTTGTGCTCCTGCGGGTTTTAACGAATTTTTCTCAAATTTTCACAGGACATAGCTAAAGACGTCGGTTAAGTTTCAAAATTGTGTTCGGGTTTGTTCTAATTTTGGATATTTTAATAATAAGGAGCAATTCACTCAAAGGATTCAGAAACATATTGCAATATATTATATATCCGCCATATCAGCGGAATGACGAAATAAACAAAAATTTCCGAACACAATTTTTTTAGAACAACTATTTTACTGTA